CTACCACTAGTACTACTAGTACTAGTACTAGTAGTACTAGTGGTAGTAATAGAATGTAGTAGTTATTTGTGAAATTGCCTTAGGCAATGGCTCTTTTGCATAAATAATAATATGTTTCTTCCACGTGCGTGTGTTTGTGTGTGAATGTTTTCGCGTTTGTTTGTATATATGCAAATAATATGGTACACTACGTCAAATAATTCATTCAATTATTCATCCTACATCTTGAATATTCTTTAATTTTGCAACTTTTTCTTCTTCTGAAAACTCTTTTTCGTTGGCAAAATTTGGTCCACTGTTAGCTCAACAACAATAATAATAATAACTCTGCAAAATTAGTATTTTATTTTAAGTAGCAATTATTATTTCTCACAAAACAAAAAAATGATATCTTTTGTTTCATGTATTTATTTATTTTTGCACAGTATTCAATAATTATTATTAAGTGAACAAAATTTAGATTTAAAATAAAATATTCAGAAAATAAATAAAAGTTAAATTTATACTCTTTCCTTCTAATTTCTAATGAATCGCGTGAATTAGTATTCATGTATTAGTACTTTTTATTAAGTACGTAAGCATAGTTCAAATGAATGAAAGAGAGGTCAATTTAAAGAATAAATTAAAAGTATTCAAATCAAAAAGAATATTTATATTAAGGAAACATGTATGTTTTAATAAATATGTGTAACTTACGCACATAATTAATTGTTATTTAATAAGCATATATAAATTTGAAAAAGTATATTATTGATCTGTCATTTATGCAGTACAGAATCTCTGATTAAGTAAAACTTAAATGTAAAACATGTAACGAATTTCAAACTTTAAAATTTATATCCATATTTATGTAAATGAGTACTTACGTGAGCACGTGTCAATATATAAGGACTACATTTATCGATGCTCAAATGCGCATATATGAGTATACAAGGATCTATGTACATGACCGCGCACATTTGAATATGATTAAGTCAGTCTATGCACCATATTCAAATGATGTGTACCAAATTTTTTTATCAACGTATGTGTCTAAGCGTGATGAGTATTGTATACGTGCTTCAATTCGCATATATACCGGTAACTAAATTGATGTGTATCCTTGCTGTGTTTTTGAAGTTTAAGTGAGCGTATCACGTAAATACAAAGTATTTGTGGACAACAAGTAGCGAAGAAGGTATTTAAAAGATCCTAAAAAAATAGTAGAAAAATAATATGAATAAAAAATTAAATAGCTCAATAAGCTACTTGATGTTAATTGATACAAAAATGAATATACTGCTAAAGTAAAAGCATTGCAATTGATGCATTATAAAAGTATAATTGTGTTTTTGAGAAAACCAAAAAGTAATGTTTTTTTGCTTTTATTTGAAATTAAAAAACTTTTTTCACGTAATTTGCATAAATAAATTTAAATCTCACTGCTAGCGTTAATGAACTATTCGTGTAAGTGATATATAAAATTCTACAAATCTTAAATTTATTCATGGATTTTTCCAGTATTTCAATTATTGAAATACTTGTTTTACTTATGATTACTGTTTAATTTGCAAAATATGCTTATCAGTCTAAATTTTTTTGCTTTGATCTAACTTAATCAAATTAGTGAAATGTGTTGGACATATTTATTTTATTTATACTAAAAATTTTGTTTTTGAAAAGTTTTCACTAATTTTATTGCAACTTTTGCTAAGTTTTTCAAATATTATTATAAATAGGTGAATTGTTTTGAATTTACAATTTTTTTGTGTGTTTTCAAAATTTGTTGATAAGTTATTGTTTTTTGTTTTGTCGATTCTTTATATTATTTTTTTAATTAATATGTCTCTCATCATAATTCTTCAATCTTTCATTGTTTTCTAGATAAAATTTATGAATTTTTAACTGAAATGAAGATTATTAGTCTGCTGAATTTTTCTAATTTTCATTATTTTCTATCAAAATAAAGTTTTAATTTTCTTTTATTTTATATATCGCAGGTAGAATGTTTAATCATTTTTGAATACTTATAATTAATTTTGGGGTTATTATTATGATTACGGTCATTAATTGAAGTTGCAAGCTCTATGATGCATTTATAAATTTTTCGGATTATCAACGTGAATATCATTAATCACATTTTGCAGTAATCAATTCTTTTATTTCTATTAAATTTTATATTAGAATCCATATTTTTATTAATATCAAAATTTACTAGTGAGTTTTATCCTAATTTTTATCAAAAAAGACCTAATTTTTAATAAGAAATTATTGAAAATTCGCTAAAATGTACTCGAAATTTGTATCACAGATTGATATCTGTCTTATCAGTTATCTTTTATCAGTCCATCATTGTGATATTATTTATTGTGTGTACTTTCAAGTTCGTTTCCGTGTCAGTTCAACTTTATTTGCTAACAATTCTTTTCAACTTTTTCTCCTTCAATATTGTTTCATTGTAAAAATTTGAAACAGCTGTTCTCCATCTGCAAACTTTTCATCAAAAACAAATATTACTTCATATTCGTTGTCCTCAGTAATTTGCATTTTTAAATTGTAATAATGATAAAATCATAATTCGTACAATAGTTATCATTATTCGTTGCATACCATACTAATATTAAGTATAATTTTTATCAAAGGTAGATAATCAGTGATAAGTAATGTTACAGGTGCTGATTGAATGGTAGTCAAGCTATGCGGGTGCAATGTTTTTTTTGCTGATAACAGTCTAAAACTTGGTAGAATTACAAAAAAGAAGTAATCGAAAAATTCGAAAAGTAAAAATCAAAAAGCAGAAATTAAAATCTACTACAAAATTATACCCTAGAATTAATTTGCATAAATTATGAAAAACACAAATGAACGCCAAGTCTGCAAATTTTTCAACAAGGTTAGTTACTTTTCGAATAATGACCTTTGCAATTTTAAGTATTCAAATTTTGTTGAATTGATTATCAAATTACTTAATTGATTGATATTAATATGGAATTTTTTTATTTAATATTAATTAACCGATGTTTGGATACGTTTTCAAAATATTAGCTCAATATTAATGGTATTTTAGCAGTGTTTTTAATTTAATATTGAAGTTTTTTCAAAAAAAAAAGAGTGCTATACTATGGCTTGCAAACTCGTTAAATATAGCTTTCTGAAAAGTATTCAAATAAAGAAAATTTTTTATCGCATATTTCAATTTTTAGATTGTTTTTTATTACTTTTATTTTTATTAGGCACATTAGTCTTGAAATTGTAGTTGTAAAAATGAATTTATCCCAAAGAAATTTTTTTAGGTTGAAATTAAAAGTTGAGTTTTGAAGCATTGTAACTCCCCACTTTTTTTGGATTGGCATGTTTATTAATTTTAGATTCTACCAATAATTCTTTCTGGATTATATCAAATACGGCGTATACTACACCTAATACAGTAGTGCAACGTTTCTGATTTCTCCAGTTTCATATATTTACGTGATCGAATTAATGGTATCTTATGCTACAATAGTAATTTACTGCATTGTATCAAATACACGTTATCGAACTTGCGGAATCTAATGCAACACGAAAAAAACACTGCTGGAACAGCAAGTTTTAGTGCAACACCAATTACGTATAACGCGTTTGTTCAACAAGCGCAATCATCTAGTGGCAGTACTCTGTTACCAAATCGTTTAGTACATTCTAAATCTTCTGAGTTATTGAATACATCAGGAGAAGTTTCTGAATCAGTACAAAAAGAATCTTTACCACAGCAACAATTACAACAATCTAACGATGCAACTCAGCAATTAATCGCACATTTAACTTCAAATCTTAGCAGTAATCAACAAATTGCACATATGGTAACACCTCAGCAAATTTATATTGCAGCTGCTGAAGAAGCGAAATTATTAGAAACGAGAAAACAACTTTTTCAAGGACTTCAACAACAACTTAGTAACAACAAAGTTGGCACTTCCTCTAATGGTAGTACAGCTAATGCCGCTGTTGCTGCACAATTTTGGCTACAACAACAACTGCAACAGCAGCAACAGCAGATGACTAGCAAAACAAGTGGAAATCAATCTCAGCAAGGGACGAATCTAATACCTGGATCTCAAGAACTCTCATTCTTGACCTCTGAGCAAAAGCTCTTAGCAGCTGAACTCCGATTAGCTGCAGAGCAACGTGAATCTTTGGCATTGTTAGATTCTAAAACATCAGCAATACATACTCAGTCATCAACATTAGTACTTGGTGCTGATGGATCAAGCGCTTTTCGTCATCCTCAACGGCAATATCTTGTAGATCAGCAGCAAATCACAGAGAATCAAGTATATCATGAAGCTACAGCAGAAAATATGTTAGATAACAGTAGTACATCAACTTTTGTAACATCTTCAGCTTCTGCATCCATTCATGTACCTTCTTTACCGAGAAATAGTCATGTAACATGCATCGAAATTGAAAATCATAATGATGGAGTGAATGATGCATGGATGGAACCAAAACTCGTTACTGATGATGTGGAGATGACAAGTGAAAAATATGAATCTATGGAAACAATGAGCCAGTCTAAATCACCCAATACAAATAGTAAGGAGGAAAAAAATGTTACTCAACAAGCATTACTAACTACCGAAAATGCCAGTGGAATCATCGGGATTTCCTCGTATACAGCTAAGTTTGGTGCGGTTATAGTCAGTACAACAGATGATGCTACAGTAATGGAAAAGAATAGCATTTGTAATGAACAGCCAAGAATGAAATCTATTTTGGATTTTGGTTAATTTTAAACTCAAATTTATATCAAGAGGACGTAAGACAATTAATTTGGATAATAATATCAAAGTATTATTCATGTAAATGCTACATATGTTTTGTAAAATTCTGTATGATAACAATTAATAAAATTTTTTTCAGAGAAGTTCGAAAATGTTTTAATTATTTTTGATCAAGAAGAGTTTGATTAAAGAGCAAATTAAAATTTATGGACTTGAATTCCACAAAAAAATTGAACATGACGTGAAAACGTGATTTAGTTCATGGGGACGAAATGGAAGTGGATGTCTCTAAGAAAGAAAGCGATGTAGAAGAAAACGAAACAGTTGGAAAACCAGCGTCGTCTACTGGTGATGGAACGGAGAATGGAATAGCAGAAGATACAGATGACGGGTATCAAATTCATCTTTATGAGAATTTTACTTAAAATTTGCTGCAGTAATTGTTTGAATTTAGTTGAGTTTTTAGCACATTTTTATGCATAAATTATGCCAATTATATGTAGAAGAAATAATTTTCAGACTTGTGATAGAAACATCAGAAACAGACTCGGGAACTCCGTTAGAGCAAACGCGATTTGCTGCTATGAGAATTGAAGAACGTATCTTGAACGAGAAATTGGGTCTTCTAACAACATCATCAACGACCACATCAAGTTCCGTGATCAGCAATTCACCGCAGCGTTCTACACCTCAGTCAGTACCTCCAGCACCAAGTCCTCGTTCCGACTCTGTCCCTAGCACTCCAAGTTCATCATCCTTTTGCCGTGCTCCTGGTCTTGGACCTGTTCAATCAGCTGATGTAAATGCACCTTCTGGGGTCCCATTTCCACTTGTTTGCAATATTTGCGGATTTTCGTGTAATTCAAAATTTCATTACAATTCTCATATGAATACACATGGGGATCATCAATGCACAATGTGTGATTACACATCGCGTACAGAAGGGCGTTTAAAAAAGCATATGCGTGATTCACACACAGTAGAAGAGCAGCTTGCTGCAGGATTAGATGTGGAACAAGTATTAGCATCTGGCGTTACCCCTACATCAAATGCATCAACAACTCGAGTATCTGTTGATGGCAGCTTTCTTTCAACTTCTATGGCTTCTGTTTTAGAAGCAGCAAATCTTGCTGCAGCTGCACAAGCAGCAGCACACGCTGCAGCAGCAGTTGCTGCAAGTTCATCTTCTGGTTCAAGTAACGCTCCACTTACAACATCAGCACCAAGTGACTCTGGAAGTGGACTCAGCCTACCATCAGCTTCTGAAACTCCTCCATCAAATGATACTGTTGCTTCTTCTTCTTCTCCTTCAGGTCTTGCAGCATCATCAGCTATCGGAACGATTCCACCATCAGCTTTAGATCAAATCCGTGCTTTCACTGAAAATCCTAGCGTCTTGCCAGATCTCTCATCAGCAAGCTTAGCTACTGCACTTATCTCTCAAAGTTTGCTTGGTTCTCAAGCATTTCAAGAAAGCTTTAAAACTTTGAGTGAAAGCCATGAACCGTCAACAAGTCCAGTAAATGGCGAAAAACCTAAGCAGTGTTCCAGTAAGCCAAAAACGTACAAATGCAAACAATGCAATCACGTTAGCGCATCAAAAGATGAACAGTGGACTCACGCACGTACTCATATTCCCGTTGAAAAACAACTTGGATGTACTCGATGTGGCTTTGTCACTGAGTACAAACATCACCTGGTACTTGACTTACTCATTTAATGCTTTTTTTCATCAGCTCAAAATTGAGTTATTACTTAATATGTTATACTTATTACCAATTAATTGTTCTTGTAGGTAGAAATTCTATGATTAAAGACTCGTAAAGCACATGCATGTTGGCTGATCTGTCGTAACATCAATGTGTTTGTTTTCAAAACAGAGTTTTATATGTGAAAATAATCTTTCTCGATGGTACACTGTTAATTGACCTGTTTTAAAAGTAATTTTTTTCAGGAATACCACCTGCGGAATCATATGGGCTCTAAACCGTTCCATTGTAAGAAATGTGCCTATTCATGTGTGAATAAGTCAATGCTTAATTCACACATGAAATCACATACAAATATTTATCAGTTTCGATGCCGTGATTGTACTTACGCTACAAAATACTGTCATAGCCTTAAATTGCATCTTAGAAAGTATAATCATAATCGAGCTACGGATATCATCGATTCAGCTGTAAGTATTGCTGCAAATGCTGCTGCAGCAGTTGCTGACAATAGCAATGATCTTTGTGATGGTAAGTTATTGAGATTTTTACGCACTTTTTACGTAGATAAACGTGAAAATACTTGAAATTAATTAGAAATTATTTACCATTAAAAATGAAAGTTTAAGTTATTACTACTATCACAAACGTATGTTGATATTTTAAGCACTATTAGACTTTGTTTAGGCTTAACGGACAGTGATGACACGACTATGCGACGTCTTAGCGAATCGTTAACTTCTTCGCAGTCTGTTGGAGATGATCCATCTCCTGAACCTCTTGCAACAACTTCAAATATAGCTCAAGATATCGGCTCTGCTCTCGGTATGACAAATGTAGTAACGAATGATTCCTTAAATATCGCATCACATCTCCTCTTGCGTCAACAACATCAGGTAGATTCGATTTTTTTATTAATGTGTGATCTTAATCTTCTTTCGCATATAGATTAGAAATGTATGTACTGAAAATTCTACAGTATTACTTGATTAATATATTTTAGTCTGCATTAATAGTATTAGCAGTATAAAAACATATCATTATGTCAACAAAAAAATGTCATCAATACTGCACATATTGAAACTTTGTAAATACAGTGCAGTATGGTATAATTTCGCATTAATCAACCTTATAAAATTAATACTATTACAAAGTTATTTACTGAATTAAATTTAAAAAAATAAGCTTGTAGATAGAGGATGATATAATGATTTGAAATGAATCAGTAGACTACACTGATTTTGTTTATTTTAATTTATTTCTGATTAATGTAATGAGATGAAAAGTGTCGTAATATTAGAATAAATGACTTATAGCAGTGTGTTTCAGATGAAAGAAATGGAACTATTACTTCGATTAAAAAATATGACTGGAATTAATCCGAATGCTTTACTTGGCATACCTTTGCAGTGCCCAGAATGTGCATATCAAGCCATTAGTCATGAAGACAGTTTACGCCATCATCTTGGCCATCTTATCAGTGCTAATACCGAGAATTCACTTTTATCATTGTACAGTATGTTCGGAATGCCTTCACAAGTGTCACCAGTAGGCCTTCCTAATCGCACGCAATTGTTCGTTTATTTTTATCTTTATTTTTGGCTAGTAAAATGATTGTTTTTGTCTAAATATACTATTCACTTTTAATTTCTTCTATTTTTTACAATAAAAGACCAATGAAAATTTTGCATTAATTTAATTACAGTTCCCAAAAAAGTGATACCAACTTTGTTTTAAAAAAGTAGTTTTGCTGTAATTTTGTGCTGATAATCCATCAATGTTTTGTTATTTATTTTACACCGTACTTGATTGTTGCAGTGCAACTAGTAGTAGTAATATTGGTGAACAAATGGAACAGGTTGATGAAGAATCAGAAATATCAAAAGTTGAAGTTGATGACTGTACTAGCAGTGGTGAAGTTGACGAAAAACCAAGCATAGGTGGCGATTCCGAAGATCATATTATGAGTGATATATCAGGTTATTATCTTGCTGTTTCATTTCATGAACTAAAAAACTTGGTGTTATTTTGTGCAAATTTGCTTTTATAATCTGTCAATGCAGTAAAATGACGACCCCCAAATCCCTGCGAAATTATATTATTTATTTATTTTTAAAATGATGCATTAACTTAATTAAAAGTTGCACAAAACTCCTTTTATTATCAAGAGTTTAGAAAATCTAAGATATATTAGCAATACGGACTGCAAAGACTGTACCGGTCTTAGCTACAGTAATACAGAAATACTGGATAATTTTTGTAAAGAATTAGACACTTTTGATTGCATTCCATTTGTAATTTTGTCTCTAAGATTTTTAAAAAAGTAAGCGAACTTTTGAATTATGCAAATTTTAATACTGTAAGATACTAGATGTTGGCGTAAATTTAATGAATGCAATATTGAGAATGTGGCCACTTAAAATTTCTAGGTGAATCGCAAGATTCTCCAAGTTCTGGCAAAAGCAGTATTGATGAAGGGTCGTCTATTATTGAAGCAGACATTGATAAAGGAGCGAAGAAACGGAAAGCTGGCTTGAAACTGAATCAAATTGCTGCGCGACTGCACGAAAAAAATTCACCAGACAATGCCCATTATTCAGATGGAGTCAACGACACAAAATGTGACGTAAGTGGATGAAAAATTTGCAGTGTGTGAAACATAAAACCGAAAAGATGAGACTAAATTATCACAAAAGATTAGTTTTGTGTTATGATCTGAAATAATTTTTTATTTTCAGTGATACTGTCCATATTATATTTTCATCAGAATATAATTAAAATATCAAATTCAATAACATTAAGTCACGTACGTATGTCTTTATTTTTTTGAAACAATTTTTACATTATTGGTAACAGGAGAATATTGTGGTCATTTACAGGAGTCATCAGCTTCCTCAGATTTAAAAGATCACGTAAGTGACGCTAGTGGGAATTCCGTGAGTGTAGGAGCAGATTCACATGGAGCAGAAGCTGCAACAGCTTCACTGTCAGGCTTGCCTTCATCCACAAGTTCTATAGCAGCACCTCAACTTCGAGTGTTACCTCCGCTCGGAATTCATAATGACTTAATTAATTTAAGCAATTTGAATATTTTCCAGCAAGCATGCATCGCGCATATGCAAGACATGGAAGTTGGTTATTATGTTTTACTTGCAATTTTTCACAGTTTATTCAACTTTGAGTAAATTAGTAGTATTTTTTAATTCAGTTTCATCTGCATTAAATTATTTTAAAATAATAAAAAAGTATTATTTTATTCAAGGAAATTGGTCTCGAAAAGTGAAGTATTTTGCCGTTCTGATGAGGAAAATTTTTCAGTTATTATCTTTTGCATTTAAATTTTAGCTGTGAGAAAGATTATAAAGTCAATGCAATTTGAACATTTCAGCGTAAATTACATATTTTGGAATTGTGGCGTTTCTCATGTGGACATTGCAAAATGGCGTTTCAAGATGAACCACTGTATCATATCCATATGGGATATCATGGATATGAAAATCCATTTAAATGTAATCGTTGTGGGCAAGCGTGCTCAGATTTCTTAACCTTTAACCTTCATTTGCTACAAGCTAAGCACTGAAATAATCTTACATCAAATATTGTCTAATTGTTTTTTGTTTCTACCTAAAATTTAGCGGCCAAAGAGTTTTGTATCAATTTGTTTTTCTTCTTCATACTTTTTCTAAATATTATCTACCTCAATTTGGTTTCAGTGATATTTCAGGTATTTTGGATATTATTACAATCATAATTATTATCATTATTATTAATTCTTCTTGTTATTGTCTTCTTTGCTGTTTAGATAGTCCTTAGCTCAGCTAGCTGGATAAGGATAAACACGTTTGTATTTTTTTTCTGATCTTTTCATGCCCTTTTTTTGGCATTTGCATATTCATTCCTTGTTTGTGACAGTATTAGTAATGTTATTACTCTTTATAGGTCGTGTTATATATTCGAAAAATGGCATGTTTCAAATATCAAAAAATTAAAGTTTATTTCCAAGGAAGCAAAGTGTTTCCAAGTTTTTAAAATATAGTGATAATGTTGATTGTGGTACTGTAACGATGATAAATTATTAGAGCCATAATGATGATTTCACTGTAATGCTAGTAACGTTATAGTAATTCACGAGATCACGATTTGAAACATGCATTTTTCTTCTTGACTATATTGCTTAAGTACCGAAATTACCTCTATTTTTTGGATTATTCTATTTTGTGATATTGTTTGTTTGTCAATAATCGTTGTATGCAATTTTATTTTGGTACTGAACTGATTGATTTTCAGGCTAAACCAACGTCTCAGGCTGTCTTTCTTCTTCTCAGGCATTTATTGCCTCAAAATTTATTTTTTTTGCTTTTTGTTTTTTTGTATTTTTATCTTATTCCCTTGTGAAGGGCTCAGATTCGTCTATATTACAACACTTTCTAAGTAATAAATGATCATGAATACTATTTCCACTTATGTATATATGTATGTATATTCCATAGGGGACATTATTATTTGTTATTTTGTAGTCTCATTTTTCAATGTTTTCGTTAATGAAAGATTCCCGGCATACTTTCATCAAACTTTTCTAGATAATTTTTTGCACCCCAATTTTGGTTTTTTATCTTCATGCAAATACCTGAATTATCTTGCTCTTAGTATGAATTATTAAAAATTTGCTAGCATTCTGCAAAAAAAAATTGCTTAATTTGTTGGTGTAAAACTACTAATTTCAGCTATTTGGCTGAATTAACAATGCTTATTGTTAATATTTTAAAAAAATCGGAAATAGTATTTATTATTGATATTATTCACGAGAAATTATTATTACTGTGAATTGCTAGAATTCTTTTCTACGAAAATTATTCTTAATTTACTTGACGAGTTTTTTTTTTCTTTTTAAAACCATAAATTTTATGAATTTCAATAAATTTTGAGGATATCTGACTTTTAATATCAGTGCTAAGAACAGCGCAAAATAGTGATTACTGTCACAAGAAGAAAAAAGCATTTTTTTACATTATGTTTTATAAATTATGAAGTAATTTATAAAATATATTGCAAAAATATATATAAATAACTAATAAACAGTCAGGAAGAGACAAAATGTTGATACAATTGTTTGATTATAACTCTAAATGTCGTAACAGTTATATCTGTTCAAGTAGTATCAAATTGTTTTTGGTTCTTTATGCAAATATGTGTGAATAGAGATCATGATTTTTTATTTGTAACATTACTTTCGATGTATTTTAGACATGTTTTTTCTATTTTCTGTTTATAAGGTTTCGATGTCAGCAATTATTATCTACAATTATTATTTCTTGTTACAATACGTGGTACGGTCTATCTTCATCATCGTCAACTCTCAGGGAATTGTATCGCTGATAAGCAAAATACAAACTAATCACCGCCATGTATGTACCATTATTCTCCCTACTTCTTAACTTCTATTGTAAATTATAATTACTAGTATTTTTATGTAGCAATTAATCATTAACAGTTTTCAGTAAACATCATCAACAATTTCTAGCATTCATGATCTTCATCAAACTCTTAACTTCCCATGAATACATAAAGTAGGAACCAGAAAAGTTGCTCGCTGACCTGTGATACGATACTTCTGTGCACATTTAAAGAAATGAAGAGTTCATAAATTTGTTAAAATAGTTACCTGCCATCGTACCTCATCTTCTTATTCTCATATCATTCTCAGGTTTTTGTTTTTTCATGTCCCCAGTTCTATAATAATGACCTATCTACTTCTCTTGATGACCACAACTTGATTTATCCCATTACTTGCAACCCATTACCACTTTTTAATTGCAGTATAAAATTGTCATGATAAAAAAGTTTCTTTAAATATGCTCACCAAACACATGTCACCTTTATGCCGTACGATTTGTAATGTTGCATCCCTATACAACAATCTTTTCACACATCTTGCTATATTCTTCAAATACAAGTTTTATGTCATTTGTCTGTGACACCTAGAATCTGTTGTAAATCTAGAGACATTAGGAAAAAGAAAGGACGACAAGCTTTGAAGTAGAAGCGAATTCATTTATAATATGTTTATGCGTACGCTTAACAAAATGAAATGTAGTCAGTAAGAGAAAACAAAGGTAAAGAAGTACACTTTCCGAAAACAAAGACGTATGACGTAAATTTCAACATCAAGTTAACTCCATCATTTTCAATATTTAAATTCTAACTATATGTTTAGCAACATCCATTCACACAGGACACACTTGGCAGATTTTAACAGAGCCTGATTATACTGAAATGAAATGTTTCAATATGATTGCCAAACCATACACATACTTCTAAGAAATTAGCAAAAGCAGAGCTCAATGAAGATAGTGGGAGCTGCAAATATTTTCATAAAAACATTGCATGAAAAAAGATAACGAATTTCTAAACTGAAAACATTCAACAAAGATAAAACAGTCTTAAAATGCAAGATACATGGAGACAGGAAAAAACGGCCAACAATTAATTCTGTTAAAAAAAAAATATGAAGACAATGAGAAGGCCGCATACAGTTTAGTGTTCCTCATACGAAACCGAAGTTTTTATATTTGATGGCTGTAAGTAGTTTGGACTTCAAAACCTTTTTGCTCGGATAGAGTGGTACATAGAGCCTGAAAAGGAAATACACCAATTCAAAAATTTTTACTTCTAGTACAGCATTCAAAAAAAACTTAAATGCAGTGAAAATTGATTGTGCTGAAAATGAAGCTTCGGTCACTGAAAAAATGAACGACAATATCAAGTTAAACAAACCGGGATATGCAGGTATTAGCTGTGGGTAGATGAAGATCATCAGCAGGACGTACAAGAACTGTAGGCAATGGCTGAAAACCTTCCTCACTTGGCGGAAGAGTTGGTGAACCAGTCCAAAAGAAGATTAAGTCCTAAAAATATAGAACAAGGTAGAATTTCTGTGCATAGCAGAGCACGAGTCAAAAATATTTTTGAAGTAATTTGATTAAAATTATTTATGATCACCTGTTTCTCTTGACTGCTCATTTTATTACATATCGACCAAAACCATCCTTTGAATCGCTGTAATGACTGCGGCGATGCCGAACTTTCATCCGTGAAAGATGTATAGCTCTGCATCAAAGTCATTGAAATCTAAAAGTACAAATCGAAATTAATCTTTGAACAAACTGAATATAGTAAAATAAAAAGACAAATAGTGATTTAATAAAAATTTACCTCTTGTGTGCCACAAAGCAGAAGACGCAAATCCTCAGCAGTCATATTCGCTAATGATCCTCGGGGAATGACATCATAAACCCCTTGTTTCATAGCCTAAAACAGCGAATTATTGACAGTGAGGTGCAATCTCTAAATAGCAAGATAAGGAAAGACAAGTTAAAGACAAAATCGATTCACCTCAAGACAACGAACATGCTTGCCAAGCATTCGCGCTTCCACAAACAAATAGATGTATTCCACGATGTTGTCAGCTGTTACAGGGATATTTGCACCACCTGGCTTTAGTTCCACAGTACCCCCACCCTTAAAAATAATTTTAACTCTCATTTTTATCATTAACAAGCCAATTGATATACACTCAAAAATAATCAGAAATCGAGGAAAAACCGATACAATTTGAGCTTAAAATAAGTAAACTTATTATTTTATAATTAAAAGTATGTGAAGTTTTATAAAACAATGAACATAGAAAAATGATTAAAATAATATCATGCAATTAAAACTTTTCACTCTAACAAAAGTGAGAAAATAGTCAACGAATAAGCTAAAGAACAATAATCTATGTGATATACATAGAACAATGATTGTCAATTTTACTGCAGTACCATTTCATATTAGTGCATTTTATTCCTGTGACCGAATTTCTGGGTGATCTATTTTCAAAATATGAACTATAATCTTTTTAAAAAGTTAAAAAAAATAAATGTTTGCCATGTGCGATAGACATAAATTCTACCTCTGCTTCTGGAACATCGATTTCGAAAACCAAATACGAGTTGTTGATTTGTTCAGGTCGTGTTGGACCGTCACTATATACCAGTGCACGCATGGATTCAAACAAAACATCATCATAAAATGCGAGATCAAACCAGTTGATTGGACGCCCGAGGATAAATTTCAACACATGACGACAAAGATGCAGTGGGAATATTTCCATTTGCATTAAGCAAATTCCCATCATTCTATAAATATATTTAAAACAATAATCTTTTTAAACGCAATTATACATCCTGAGTATTCCAATAAAAAAAGGTTCTATCGAACATTACCTCCCAACATTGCGAAAAGCATTGATGCGATGGGAAGAATTTTTCCCCGCAATTGGAGTGTAGCAACCAGATTTATTTGGGCGATAAAATAGAGGTGCAATATCATCGTCAACTATTACTGCGCCGGGCTCAATAGCAACTAAAATTATAGGTGTTGATAAGAACATGACATGACGTTCAATAATTGTAAAAAAGTCTTATAGTCAGACATTGACTAATTTTTACTGATTCGCTTCACGAGATAAAACTTTGGTAATTCAAGTTCACTTTCATGATAATTCATGTGCTGAACTGGAGGAATAGTTTAACCTTCTTGAGGAGTGTACCAAATCTACATCAATCACAATTCCAGTAGAAAGAGTTCATAATACAAACCATTAAGGTTAGGAGTACTGGCAGCTCGTGCTATCGGTCCAGTTCTTGCTTGCACCGGTTGCCCACGATTCAAGGATGCTGATTCGTCAACATGATCCTCTTCAATGTTCTCTAAATTTGTTGCTTGAATCATTTCATAAGCTTCTTCAACTTGCGCTCGAAGCAGCTCTTCGCTTGCTAATATTGTTACTAGTTGATGTGGTTGCAGATCTAACAACATTCCCGTAATTTTGTTACACATTTGCTGGAAACGCATGAATTTTAAAAGATAAAAAATTTTGATATTCCCAAACGATATTGTTATTTGGATTGGATTTAGAACCATTTTAATTACATCTAATCTCCAAAGCACAGTTAAACACTGATCCAAAACCTAACCAGTATTTAACTTACTGAGTTCAGTTAAATTTTTGTGTCGTGAAATAATCCGGTTTTAATACTAAAAGAATATCAAATGTAAGTTTAGTTACCGGTCTAATCGCTTGAACTCGCGTTAACAATCTTTCTCCCAACGTCTCTCGTTCAGGTTCCCATACCCCTGGCGCTTGTACTGAAGAGTGATCTGACGGAGGTACAGATCCGCTATCGCCCGATGACTCATCGGCTTGTTGCTGCTGACGCGGATAAAACGGCTGCGATAAAATTGATAAAGCATATCGACTAAAAATTAAGGTTTTCAGCAATCGTCCAATGAAATTAATCTTTCGAAGTAATGGAAATTATAATAGAATCTAGTTTCAAATTCCTCTAGACGTAATTCATATTTTAGTATTGAATTCAAAGATTGAAACATTATGCTTTTCTTAATACTAAGAGAAATTACTTCCGTAAATTTCGTCGTCTACCAGCCATTGATAAGTTATTAAGAAGAACCGCACTACGTTCCCGGTAATTTGCACGAGCAGATCCTCGATTATCTGAAATACTTTTCGTTTATTTAACATGATTATTATCAACCAATGCTAATATACGAGAATTTTTGTTTAGAAGCATACTTGACGGTGGTAGAGCGTCAACCAGTGTATTCCCAAAAGAAGCTAACACCTGAGCTTCCGTTGGCAGACGCTTCATCGTCAAAAATGCATCAGCAATTGCTGCATAAAAACTTCTTGCAACCCCACTTCCTTCTCCAGGTTCATTTTTAAAAGTAACTTTCACCTGCAATTAAAACAATAATGATGAAGGATGATGGCTTCTAGTTTAGTTTGTTTTTAAATTTCATCACTAGAATTTAATAATTTCTTCGTCGAAGAAAAAGCAACCTTATGAGAGGCAAGAGGAGGTGAATCAATATCACTACTACCAGCACTAGACCACGTGAGATTTATTAGTCTCACCGCTCGTACTGCACCAGAATCTCTGGGTGTTTCTGAATTATTGTTCTGTGGTGTGTTATTCACTGATGGACTACTAACACGTCGACAATAATGCAAATTTAATTGACGAATAGTTTGAGCAATCATCTCATGTTTGTCTCGTTCGATCTATGAATTTGAAAAAATTGTTACTAAATAGCACATGTTAACTAGAAAATAGAAGATAAACAACTTGTTTCAAATTTGAACTGTTTTTTATGTACCTATCGATCAAGTATAATTTAGTGCGAAAAGAAGCCGATTAATAAATATAGACTATGCAAAAATAAGTTAAAATCTGGCCTAAGAGAAATATATTGCCGCCATCGCACATATGCTGAAGAACTACCCTGTTCGTAACAATGAAATGCCAGAATTAATTTTTGGTACTAATTTATAACTGCTGTTTCAATTAATCTTTCGAAGTAATGGAAATTATAATAGAATCTAGTTTCAAATTCCTCTAGACGTAATTCATATTTTAGTATTGAATTCAAAGATTGAAACATTATGCTATTTGATGTGAAAGCAAACCTCGAAAACTATGTCTCTACTTTGTGAAGCTCTAAATCTTTCCATTTTCTTACGAAACTGCATTTCGCGTACAGAAAAACCTGCCATTTCACTTAAAAGAATTGAGCCCGTAACTTCCCCTCCGCAGGCAATCAGTAATTGTTGATAAAAAGCCTGAAATTCTCAATAAAACCACAAATTAAATCTTCTGGATTATTAAATTAATTAAAATAACTCTATTATGAATTTTTTAGTTCATTACCCAAAAAATTGGATCTTTGAAACTTTACAGGGAAAAGTAAAATCTACAAAACTCACTCTTGCCATTAAAATAAGCGTATTCTTCCATCGAGCTAGTGATTTATGTAACTGACTTTGATTAACAGAAAGCAGTAAATTTCTCAAACTTTCCAATTGTACTGGAGTAAATCCGCGAGGAGATGGAACTGTCGAAAATGAGCATAGGCGTCGACGTTTTCCTAGAACATCAAAAGCCATGCAGGCAATTTTTAAAAATTTTAAACAGACAAAAATATCTAACCTTGCGTCATTTGTTCATTAGAAACACTCTTCGCATGAACAATAACATTTGGACGTGACGGACCACTAACAGAAGTTTCTTTCTCATCTGTAAGCACATAAAAATAACCAGCAGAAAGAAATTTTTTATAGATGCTATAAAGTTATAAAAACTACCTACCACTGGTATTTACAACTGAACTCGGAGGCAACATTTCTTGATAATTAGACCATGGAGAAACTAGTCCTTGATGTCCTGGATACTTCGTCCCTTGTTCTTGAATAGATTTCTGAAATCACAGAATTTTGTGGTCACGAGCATTTAGGAAAAAGCCTGCACAATCAATTCTTAAGCATGAAAAGTAATGCTTACAAATATAGGTTTTTTTTTTTCATAGGTACGAAAATAATTTCCACTAAATAAGACAACCTTATGATCACAAGCAGTTTTATGCTTTATCGGTAACCCAAACATTTCTTCTTTTTCAGCATCGGGTCTTAGAAGTTGCGGATATTCAGCCAAAGGTAAAGAATCTGCACACTTGTGCTCAAAGGCATGGTACGCAGACGACGTTGGGATTCCAGGATACAGCAACGAATTTGAACGCTGAAATCGAAGATAAAAAAGAACGATAACTTACGGAAAATATGCGTTAAATATAATTTCAATAATTACTTGGAAAAAATCGTTTATTGGAGCCACTTGTGAACATGCCTTAGTTTCTTCGTTAACCTATAACAACAAATCAATAAGATTAATATTTTACATCAATTCTGAATTCCATATACAATTTGGCTTTTGAGTCAATTAACACCCAGTTATTAAATTACAACGAAAAAAAATAATGAACTAACAGGTGTTTCATTCTGGAACATATCAACAACTTCTTTTTCGTTCGTTACAGCACCTGTTACATTCAGACCCAAAGCGATTCTAGCATCGATTTTCTCTAGCATATCAGTTAATGATAGGTATGCATCTGCTACATAAGCTAAGGATCTCAATGCATTTACTTCGATAATCGGCACATCATCACCATTTTCAGACGCATGAGAACGCATGAGTGCTGTTACATAGTCAAAGAAATCTTCTAATGATGCTGCAGAATCCAAATTTTGTTCTTCTAAAACTTATAGTACTTCATATATCACAAAATCTAGAGAATCAGCACAGAATATATGAAACCTATAAAGTGTTTTTATGCATAAATTTGAGAAATACCTTTTTTATTATTAGCAGCTGCAGGTCCTGATGAGAAATCTTGTCTAGGAACTGGTGTACTAGTGTGATTACCCGATGCAGGCCGCGAAGTGCGCTTTCTGCAAAATAATATTAAAGCCATTTGAATGGAGAAAAAAGTGAGAAAATTTTGACATACTCATTGTCACGATCGTCACTTTTCTTCAATAATCGGTTTTTCTCTTTTCGAAGGATAGCAGCCGTGCTAGGCGTCGACATTAAGGCATTTCCAAATCGTACTTGAGCTTCTGTTCGATCTAAAACAGTTTCCATCCATTGCCAAACAACACAGAGACGTTCTTCTATCAATCGCTGAAAAGTTGTATTAAAAGTATAACAATTAAACTAAAAGAATACAATCAATGAATTATCTCAAATCCCTCATAATTTTCACAGTACTATAATAAATATGTTCCAAAGAGTTCCATAAAGCTTACACGTATTGCAACCACAACAGCATCATTTAATTCAAGCATTTTCGGTATGTGTGAGTAAGAACTCTTCATATATTCTCTATGGTCCGCAAGCATTGGCATCAAATCCACAATCAATCTTAAAAATTACTTTGCTTCAAGTAGCTTTAATAACTAAGTTGAGTTTCCATTGCTTGGACACTCATAACGTTGACTAAAATACTCTGAATCACTCATCTGTGAACAAAAATCTCACCTGATGATAAGTGAAAAACATAATGATAGTTGCAGATTTGTTTTCGATATTGATGTAGCAACTTCTTCGGATGATTCGCGCTGCTGTCGTGCGTTTGTTCTAGAACGTGAATTTGAGTCTGCAACAGTGTAAATAAAGTCTGACATTTTCGTGTCTTAATATAAAATTGCATGTTTTTCATGAGAGTACTAAAAATGACTATATATTTAATATTTCGCTACGATAAATGAGACAATGCGGATATGAAAAATGGAAACAATTCCAATCAATTAACCTTTGAACATATGTATCTTTTCTAAGACAACTGACCTTGATTATCATTATCATTACGTCGTGATGTGTTTGAGCGATCAGCATTTGAAACCATTCGACGTATAGCCCATTGAAGAGGTACAGCTAATATGGAAAAAATGTAGTAAGGACAACTCGAGAAAAAATAAATACTTTTGGTATTTGAACTATTATCAGCTCTTCACATGCAAACACATCAGTAATAAAATATAAAAGCATTTAAGAACATGCCATTATGTCTTCCACTTGTTACACCTGAAGTTCTTGCCGAGGTAGCATCATTGTTACGTTCTCCATTATTATCTTCATTACCTTAATGCGACAATTTTTATTCACTAAAAACGAGAGACCAAAGATCTAGTACGAATAGCAATTGTTACATATAAATTGTTAATAAATGTCAATACTTCGAACACGCTGCTGTGATGCATTAGTCGAACTAGTAAGTGATAATGTACTTTGCTGCTGTTCTACTGGTGGATTATTTCTTGTTCGGGGATTTCGCGAGGTTTGATTCTATAATTGAAACTGATCAAGAAACCTCAATAGAATTTTCAATTAAAAAAATAAAAATCAAGAACCTTAGGAGAAAGAAAAGTAGACTGTATAAAATACTAAATGTAAAATAAACAGACCGATCTTCGCCGATTAGTTCGTACATGTCGAGGTCGCACTTCTGTAATAAATAATAAAATACAAAACATGCATATGGAAACAAAATAATGATAATTACAGCGTACGATGTAACTAGAAAATAGTCAATCAATGTAAAGTTCATATGTTACTCTTACCATCACCACTGCCAGGTACTTCATCGTCTTCATTTGGTTCTACTTGCATATCTTCATCTTCACCATCAGCATTTCCTTCTTCATTACCCTCATGTTCGTAACCTTCTTCGAAATTACCATCATCTTCCTCATTTCCAAATGTTTGTTCTAAATTCCCAGTGAATTCCAACTTATGTTAACTTTTATCAGACTGATTTTTTAAGAAACATCGTTAACATAACTTAAAACTAGAAACAAAATCTCTGAAAAGTAAGATGTATAATACCATCTTCACCATTTCCATCATCATCATTCTCATCTTCTTCTTCGTCAATATTAGGATCATTTCCTTGACTAGTCGGGTCATCATCTTGTTCAGTTGGAGAACTAATTGTATCAACCGAGTCATCATCTGCATCTTCGTCAGATAAACTGAACAGCTCATCACCATCATAATTACCAGATGACACTTCTGAAAACATATGTTTCAATTTCATCTACGATTCTGAGTTTTCTCAATTCGAGAATCAATAATTCTAGTAATTCATAAAATTTACTGGACAAGTAAGCTTAGTATTTTTCAGTGGTACCAATGTTTATACAATATTAAAATTTAATTCGTTCTTTTCTTTTTTTACTACACAAAATTGCAGACCTACACGTATTCATCATTTCTGACAGAATATAATAAAAATGCAAAAACTTGCCTCGAAATGCACTATACATTTCACCAACATAACTTTGGCTTCTGGTAGGACGAGATTCTAGAATAAAATTTTAAAATAAAATATCATCTGGAGTGATTTGCGAATATGAAATAAAAATGAAAGAATATCCAGCAATTTACAGCTTACCGTCACTATCAGAATCAGTCGAGTTATCACTTTCCGGTGCACTCTGTGACTGTGTGCCATCACGAGTTTCTTCTTCGCCATGATCTCCATCCCGCCGTATACTTCGCTAAAAAATGCTTTGGAACAAAATATTCATTACTTAGTAACAGCAATTTTTAAATGAGATGAAGAGTCATGCGTTGCTAAACTCAAAAAGGACAATAAGTTGTGTGTACAGCAGTAACAACGGTTTCGCTATAATCAGCGCTTGCAATAAATGAATCTAAAGCTGAAAAACTAAATAATGTCTCCACATAATCAAAAATATTCACCCGCCTTTTTCGACCAAATCTTGTTACAACTGAATCATCTCCGATACTGTTTATCGTGGACAAATCGGTTTTTCCATTCAAAAACTTTTCTAATGCCTAAAAATTTTGAGATATGCGCAAATATACTGTTGAATTTGAGGTGGTGTGCATAACACGAAATTTTAAAAAATTTTTAAGAGAAGAATATTATTTACATCAAGAGGATCAGTGGTAACATTTTGCGCAACTATTGAAGTAGGCTTTACTATCCCTAGTCGAACAGGAGCGATAAGGGAATCAGCCATATTGCAGAGTTCACTGATTGAATAGTTCAGCAAAGTTTGAAATATGCGGCGGCATTTCAAAACGAAATTGGTTATACTATAATAAAGCACAGATTAGAAAATTATAGGCAAAACATTCATGTTGTGAGGACTATATTTTCTGCAAACAGTTCAGTAACGAAATTAGAATTTACTTTTTCTTTTTAGCTTCTTTGGTCGCGGAACTCTCACGTCCACTTGTTGAGCGAACGAGGGATAACAAACCCGTAAAGCTAACAGCATGTAAACCAGGACCAAAGACTCGTCTAAAATATGCGAAACTATCTTCAACAATTTGATTCATTGTAAAATAAAAAATGAAGACCTTGGAGGCGTGTTTCCAGTCGGAGGTGCTTGTGATATTCCACTCACTGCAGCAGTTGCAACGGTTATCGCAGTCGGTGATAGCAAAGTCAATAAACTAAACATCCTGAAAATGAAAACTATGAAAGTCGTAAGTGGAAAATTAGACAAAAATAATGTCAATGTATATTTATAACAAACCTGATAACTGAGCGCATGAAACGTGAAATTATATAATCGATGTCAGGATCTCGTTTTACTTCATCAGTAACCTTTCTATTTGCTTCTGCTATCAATGTATTGAGCAGGGTGTCGATATGCTACAAGAAAAAGAGCTATGAATAGATAATTTAAGGATAGACTGTTCTTTCATGTACAACGACAGTTTGACTAACCGTTTCAGAGCACTTTGCTAACAAAGTGAAAACAAATCTGTCGAGATGCGCACAACCATGCTGCTGATTGAGATGAAACACATCTTCTATTATTACTGCATCGCTGAAAACGGTTTGATATGCGATTAATTAGAATTGGAAGTTTTTTCGGGAGATATGAATTTATATAACTCACTTTAGTGATCCTTTGACACCCAACATTACTAAACTTTTAACAGTACGCCAATCTCCAAGAAGTTTTACGAAAGCAGTTCGTGCAAATTTTGGAGGCTCCAAATCATGTTCCGGAGCACTGTCTGAAAATTTACGGAGTACAATTTACCTTCACAATTACGATAACTTGGCTATGAGAAAAACTCCTTGCATGAATACAAGTATGATCATATAAATATATTCACATATACGTATTCGATAAATTTGAATGCAATTTTAAATAAAAAATAACCAATCATTGATCCTTGAGTTTTTTTCAGCACCCGGCGTTGAAAATGCTCCTGTTCAACAATTTGTCGCCCAACAGTTCGTGCCAAAAATAGCAACAGATGCTCTCCTCTGCAAGTAAATATAGCACTAATTAGTAGCTAGTAACCATTGATAAATTTGTTTTACTGCTCATACAAGGCCATAATCATTGGCTTTTCCTGGATACACGATACATAAATAAAACTAATGTAACTTTGTCCTTAGAACATCGTTGAATCTTAGTAATTTGTTGCAAAAATACACCTAGAATTCGTCCGATAGGTGAGATCAGTGCTACTGATTAATACCGATAGCAATTTTTCTCGACGTGCTGTATTTCCCATAATAAGAGCTCGACAAGAACATTTTTCCCAACAATCACAATAAGCAGTTGGAGACGTTCTTTTCAATCTGTAAAATATAATTTAATTTAATTTCAACCTAAAAAAGATGGATACAAAAACTCGTTCAATCTAAAATGGCTGATAAAGAACAAAACCTATATTCGTGATTACGATGGCAAGTATATGCACATTCCGTGCAACAACAGAGTGTACCAACTAATCCACATGTTCGACATTCGAATATGTCCTAAAATTATAACTACATTGCGAACTCATTTGAATCAATTTCGACATCTTTTAAATTATTTGAAATAAACCATAGAATATCATATTCAGTAAATATTAAACAAATTTAAATCACTACTGTTTATATCAGAACCTGATTAATATGTTCATCACCCGTCCATGTAAAACTGCATGTATCATTCATACATAACATAAACAGAGGTGAGTCATCAAGTCTACTTCCTGAAGGATATATTATCGAATATAAGACCACATCAGATGATTGCTTTTTTCCTTGAGATCCTGAAAGACTTATTATCCGGAAAATCAGAATTAATGTGCGAAAAATGGCATTAATAACACTCTTCTAAAAAATATGATACAACAGAACTACCTAAAATCTGTGCTTCTTTCAGCAACTCTTCAGCAGTAAGCCAAATAATGTAAGCTGCAGTGTATGCTCTGCAGTTAACAGCACACATAAAAGGTGTATGTCCGTTGATATCCCTACAAATCAAGAGTTACTAACATTCTCAAGAGCTATGAAATAAACTTTCAGGTTCAATAAATTATGTATCGTGGAAATTGCAATTAAAATAATCATTTAATTTTGTAAAAATACCAAAAAAAACTATTTCAATTTCAAAGTTTTTCATCACGTTTAGATAAATATTTTTCTATATTTCATACGCATCCTGGTTTTCTCTACAATTCGACAAAAAAATAGTACTCATAATTACTTTGTTGTCAACAGTTCGAACAGATATGGTGCAACGACTGAGCTACAGCAAAGAGTCTTGACAATCTCTATCGCATTGCTCTGTCTCAATTTTGGTTCACTAATGGCATTAACAATAATTGGCATCGATGCTGAATAAACAAAAAATATTCTGCTTATAATATAATTAGTAGCACCTTAAGCATTACTCATCCTTAACAAGAAAAATTTTATCTAGAAATAATTTTTGCACAAATATGCCATGACAGAGAAATACCTTCGTCTTTTATATCTTCAAAGAAAATGGGTGGCTTTTTTGCCTCTTTTAAGCTCCTTGCAAAATCTGCCAACACTAAAAATTGGTAATATTAACAGCAGAAAAATATGAATAAATATTAATTAATGTGCTTCTCGTTGGTAACATAAGACCAATGAGTTGAAATTTATTTTAATCAGTGCGTCGTTGTTGCATTTCAAGTATATTTCAATTAATGCTGCTTGAATGCCGAATTATTTAATCCCCAGAAACTCACTATCTTCCATATTGCCTACATCGTGACCAGGTCTACGTAGTGGATTATTCGCCATAAGTTCTCTTATTAGCAATTGCTCCCTACAAACAAAACCGGTTTTAAAAAAAACAAAAGAGAGACAATTTACATTTTTTTTATCAAACGAGAATATGAAATAACAAACTCAGCATTAGCACCATGACGTCTAAGCATGCACTGCCAACGGTGATCAAAAGCAACACGAGCCTCTTCAGCAGCTGACATATCTTCTGCTGTAACTGAAACTAAACACATTTTCCATATTTTTTGATTGCTTATACAATAAAAAATTACTTGATTAAATAACTTTGAAATAACCTTGTAAACGTTGCAATGGTTTATTTTCAGTTTCAACCGATATTTCCATCGTATCTGCTTCATCTTTGTTTGTCACCGCAAAACTATTCATAACTGCGGCATGAAAAATTGTCCTGTTTCCATCAGCACGAGCAACCAAAATTTCCGTTCTTACAACATCTTGATCTGAAAAATAAGAAAATTATATGTGAGAGGTTCAGGTCTCAAATACTATGATACTATGAGTTGAGTTGAACTTGGGCTTTTTGCAAAAACTGTGCTTAGCGCGTGTAAAAATCTAAAAACCGTTAGGCAGAAGAAGTAAACAACAATACCTGCTTCTTTTGAAAGTGCATCAAGCACTAAATCCACGCCTTGCAAATCACAGTACAATATGGTTTGTAGTAAGGAAGGTATTCGCGGACGAGTAGTAGATGGTGATGGAGCAACTAAAGTCACCAAAAGTCCCGTGCATACTCCGCTTCTTAATACTCCTGCTGGAAATTATTCATACTGACAACCAATAAAGTTATTTCAAAATTTCCATCGAGCAATTAGCATGTGATAAACGACAATGAGTATAATGATCATTCAGAAATCAACATATTTAAAAAATGAGTATATTCTCAATAATAGTTCAAATCTGCATTATTATAGGAAGAGGCAATGATATCTGTAAGCTAAAAAATGTGCTTATTTTTTTTAAAATGGACTTACTGTCTTCACTTCCTACTACATCACAATCTTCCAATATCTTCAATCCAACTGCAAAATGATGTAAATTCGGTATAGCACAGTAAATCGGTTCGCGAAACACACCCGCTGAGTCACGTACCATTGGTATTATTGAACCATTGCTATCACTTATAACCATAAGCAGTTCCTAAATCCATTTCCGTCTTTTAAAGCATAATAACAATTACAAGCTTATAAATTAAAAAAAAAATTAAAATGGATTCAGGAAAAAAGCACATTAAAAAATTTTATTATAAAAAAGGAAAACGACATCGTTTCCAAATAATGCAGTAACTAGCTATAGCAAAAGCATCTCATAATTTTATAATAATTTTTGAAACTAGCATTCAACATTCTTCAATAATCCGAATAAAATGATTTTCTTGTTATATAGTTTTTGTGAGTCAACATACTTCGCCACAATTTTCAATCCGTGGTAAAATCGTGCCTGCATTAGACATAGCAGATGTATTCACTGGCAAAACGTGGTCACTCTGAATTTTTCCAAACACACTTATGCGTACCAAATGAAAACGACCGCGTTTTTCAGCTAATAGTTGTAAACCTGTCACAAAAATAGATAGCATTAATGTACACCATTAATCTATTAATTTCAAATCAATTAACTCAACAAATTCTAAATTATACATTTATAAGTATTTGCAACGATAAGAAATTGACGAACCACTATCATCTACTGCCAAAGAGAATGTTTTTTTCATTGATATACTACTAGGCAGTTTTATTCTTTGCAGACTTTTCTGGAAATTTTCGGGACAACCAGGTGTCTTATTGTTTGGTGTTACCACAACAAGATCATCTTTCCGCATCAATCGTATTTTTCCAAAATCAATACTCCCTTGCGCTTGGTCTTCACAACTAGAGCTGACAGGCTTATATAAAACTCCACAATAAGCCCCATCTACCTAAAAAGATAAATTACTATTAGCACATCTTGTCCATGAAAATCATCTTAAAATTAAAAAAAACCAATCCTGGTATGAAATTTGGAAAACTTACAATTTTGACAATAGCAGTGTCTTGTGAGCTCCCCTTGTGAATAAATACTACTTCGCTCAAAGCCCATGCAGCTTCTCTATAGGCGCTTCCTTTCTGTTCTTCACGTGGTCTCTTACCGTGTTCTAAAAATAAGTATGTTTAATATGAGAAATGAAAGAATTGTTGAGAACTTTAACAATACAGCGGGGTATGCTCAACAGGACGCAATAAAGTTTTTTTCCAAAATTTAGATGTCAAAGAAGTCAACTTTCCTGATATAAAAAATCAATGTCACAAAAACTGGAAAAAGCAAACAAGTTAAAACGAGCTCAGCAACCTTTCAGTCCATCCGATAAAAAAGGTACAATTTTTACTATGTTCAAATAGGACAGAAAAGGCAGCACCTGCACAGCAAATTAGAATGCAACTAAGAAGCGCAAAGACAATCAATCAATACTATGTATTTCTATCCCCAAGCAATTCGTCACCCGGTTGCCATTTATAAAAATTGCTGTTTCGGTCCAACTTCATAGATTTTGGTATTCTTTTTACTTTCCATGATTCACATGAATTTCCATTTCAAAATATCAATCCTTACCGAGACAAATATATGAAAACTGCAAGATCTTTACAGGGAACAGGGAGCAGCTGAGATGCATTCTAATTAACTCACGATTCAAGGAGCCTTTTTTATCAGCCGATTGATGCGCAGAAGAATTGAGGGACGAACCGTCATCAACACTTGTCTCATCGTGTTGTGCTGGTGTCATTATTCGAAATCTACACAGTTCTGATAGCGTCCAAGCCGATTCCATCAGCGCGCCAACCTCAATCAAAAATCCTGATTCATCTCAACTGATGTTTTTACTACACCCAATAAGTCAAAAAACATCATAAGAAAAATTTTAATATGAATCCTAACCATAGGCGTTCCAGTATTGAAATTTAAAGCTATTGCACCCGCTGTATATATTGGATGCGATTTCGTTCGAACTTCACAACCTTCGACTACTTCAGGTGGTGGTATATTTGAGCTGCGACGTGCTTTCGAGCGCGTACGTTCCCACAACTTCCGTCTTTCGTTAAATGGGTATATGCCCCTACAAAAATACAATTCATACCACCAAGTAATCGACTTTAGATAAATAAAGTGGTAAGATTTTTAATGCTAGAGATGCCAAGATCAATGTAATCATACAATTTTAAAATACGTACCACCAGTAACAAGCATTGGTCTGAGTCTTTACTAGACAATACATAGGACACACATATAATGATGCATATTTTTCTCCATCTGGTATTTCCATCAACGGCGTCAATAGTATATTAGATATCTTGATACCACAGGCCTCAGCATCCATGAATGATGCAACTCGGTTCATAGATGTTGCAAGGCAAGCACGAAATGGACATGAAACAATGTCCACAAATTTCTCTTCTTGTACAGCCTAAATCAGATTATTAACTATATCACTAAAAACTTTATGTGAGTCAAATACTATAACTACTAATGACTAATCTGCAAAATAATATAAAAAATGAAATAAAATGTCCAGATGCATCAAAATTCAGTCAAATAAAATATAAATATCTAAAAATTTACACTAGATAATAGTTTGCAGGCAAAAGGATGTGGTGTCAATGATCCCTGTTCATTTTTCTTCCAATTCCAGCCATAGAAAAAACCATTGTCAGCTAATGCAACTAGTTCACTACTCATAGAAGCTATTTTGATAAACTTTGTTACACCCGTCGGAAATGTGTCCTATAACAAAATATACTATGTAATACTAATAACAGTGAAATGCAGAGAATATTATGAACCACAATATAGGAGCTTCGATATTTTTCTTCAAATACAAAGCTAAAAATCGAGTCAAATCAGAGACTTACTGCTTTGCCACCCCAGTATTGCAAATGTTCATCGCATTTTAAACGTGTGTGAGTCTCCGAAGAAGATTCTTTTCCTTTGTCACTTTTCTTATCTTCAAAAAAAAAACAACTCCAAATCATACTGAATTCAGAAAAGTATAAAAATTACTTAGCACTAGTATGCCAGCATACTAACCCCTATCACTTCGTCTTCGAGCAATATCCCTAGCTACAACATAGTCGAAACCTTCTCCACTGGCATATAAATTGTCCCCATCAATGACAGCACTTCCATGTGAATCACTTCTTAATCCAACATCTAACAATGACAGAAGCTCTTCGGGAAGATATGCTTCGGAACCATCATCCATATCTTCACCTGAATTATGAATAATGAAGAATCCTAACCAGAAATTTCACATGTCTTGTACAAAACTATAGAATTCTATATTTAACATATACCTTCCTCGTCATCACGACTAAGCAAGTTATTTACAGCTTCGTTTACATTCAAATTTGTTCGCTGAAGCTCTCGTATTATAACCTCGCGTGACTTTCCTTGTAAAACAACCTTAAGTATTAAAAATAAAATGAAATCTAAAATCAAAGTAAGGGATTTAACAAGATGTTTGTCACTTCTATCAAAATTATAAACGAGCTAAATTTTATGCATGAAGTTATACTGACTTGTGCTTGAGCAATGAGATCCTCAGGAATGGAACTGAGAGGGACAAGCGATCGGCTTCGGTCAACAATAACACCCGCACGTTCTCCCAAAGCATTTGCTGTCCGTCTCGCTGCCATCATTACCCGTCTAATTTTAGCTCCACGGCTTAGTGCTGCAAATAGCAGAAGAATTCAAATGATCAAGAGAAATTATTTTTAACGTTAGTTATTTTTAATGAAATCAATTATAATACAAATTATAGTAATACAAGAAACCAATTTTGCTAAAAAACATCTATCCAGCAATAAAAACAACCTATTATTTTTCTCAATCTCCTACATAAGTTTTTCTAAAACACAAGAAACCTGCAGATGAACTAGTGCCCCCAGTCGATGCATTAGCAACCCCACCTCCACTACTTCCAGAATTACCACCTGGGGTTCCAACGGCAGCATTCTTATCATCACTAGCATTCTCTTCTTTAGCAGCTGCTGTTATTGTGTATTTTAATCGTGCAACACGACCACACTGCAAATAAATTCAATTTTACGATTATACCCCACATGTATTTTGACTTCTGACGTAACTCATTATTTTCGACAAATCAATAGTTTTATACCTTGAATAGAAACGCTACATGATTTGGACCACAAACAATTTGCGTTACGCTATCTGCATCAATATCTGCAAGCGCTGGTGTGGCTACAGCGCCGTGATGATTTCGAGCAGTGAATGCTTCTTTTAAACTGGAAAAAACGTTGAATTACTCACGTGCAGTGGATTTTTAGGAAATGGTGTTCCCTCAAATCTAAATCATGAAGTAGAAAATAACAGTGGTTCAATAATTTTATGAACCAGAAATAAGTGTCAACTGAACATCAACTCTAGTACACTAAGCATTATTTTGAAATACTTGCCGATCAATCAAAACATGCTCATTTGTGTGAATTGGGAATGTAAATAAAAATAGCTGCTTCTGGTCATCCATTAGCTATTACCTGAAAACATTAATGAAATTTATTTAATGAAACCACTCATCCATTAAAAAATTAGTTTGATCATTTTTAAACTGATAATTTTGTAATGATATAAATGCCAAGAAATTTCGAAAATATCTGAATGGGGGAGATTACAATTTGTTCATAAAGCTGACTCTGCAAGAAATAAGACATAAAAATCGTTATTTATTGTATCACCGATTAAAAAAATTTTATTTCAAAGTTATCCATGTTAAAAAATCGAAAAAAAATGGAAGTAAAAAAACTGAAAATTTTAATGAAATAATTTTGCTTAAATGGTAATTCTCTACAACATATGCACAAAAAATTGACTTTTCATCGTGCTTTGATGGCCTATCATGTAATATTTACATCTCGACAGACATGTTATCTCTTAATTCGATAATTGACAGATAAAAACTCAAATCGCATTGCAATTAGTAGTCTCCAAATTTTGCTTGAATAATAATTACCTGACTTGTAGCCTCAACGAGATCTTCACTAGTCAATGAATTTTACTGCCAAGCAATCTTATGTTAAACTTCACTCCGTACACCAAGAATTTGAAAATTTCTAACTACCTGAAAGCTAAAAACAACTGTAAGAAAAAATATTGAAATTAAATGCCCGCCTAATCATAACAGAACGCACAATAAGATCAATTTTTGAACTTCAAAAAATTTGCCTGAAGTGCACACATCTGGAACAAATTGAATTTTATAAGATAGCTAATAAAGTTTTTTTGATACCCATCACATACAAATACATGATCATCGTATTTCTGATAACACTTTATAGAAATCCCTCACTCACTTTAATATATTTTTGACATTTAGATTACGTAATTTAAAATCGAACTAATCTAGTAAACGTCGATTTCTTGAGACATGACTGAAACTATAAATTTTCAATCAAATGATGACATATTTTAGGATCGTCATTAGTTGGACAAATCGTAACTGACTTATAGAAGAAATTGATCTCAGTTATAAAAACTTGCCAAATGACCCAAAAAATATACTCAGTAACTCTCAGAAACATCACTATTCTTCCGACCAAAGATCGTGCGAGATACTGAGGCATGATCATGAAATCTGTGATCAATAGTCATCTTCACTATTTTTTCATAAATGAAATTTTACCTAATTTATTTCAAACAGTAAAATCCCGAGAGTAATGACTTAAGTATGGTTATGACCGTTAATTCTCAATCAATTAACTAAAAATCATATTTTGTAATACTTACTGATAAAGTAAACTGCTTCCAGAGGGAATATACTTCAAAGCAAGCAGTAACGTGTAGAATGATGAAAAGATGCACAACTTGTAGCTATTTAGCAACTTATTTTAACAAACGCACGCATGCACGCACGCGTACACACTCAAACTTGTGTGAATACACATATCGCTTAAAATGTACACATCTTCAGCATGAATACACCACACATTCAACAGTCAACTAGTACAGGAAGCCCTAATTTAGAACCAAACTGTTACCGAAATATTTTTTTTGATTTCAAGAAAGTCAACGTCAGGGACAGAACAAATCTTATAATGACGTATCCTTGTAACAAACGCTAATTAAATACTCGACTGCTAATTTGAAAGTTGACAGGGATGGAAAGTCATTCTTCGACAAAGCATAAATTTCGAGAACATTTGAAAAGCAAAAACTTGTAAGTAACGGCAATAAGGATTTCGCGGTGAATTTATCTACTAGGATATTTTGACATGTATCTTTAAAATGATTCCTATTCACAACGCAGTAGAGGCAAAAAAAGTTGGTTCTTCTTGATAATATGAACTGGTGGGTTTATTTCACTCACGCAAGGAGATCGCGAAGATCGCGGCAGTGCAAATCTCGAAAGTAATGAACAGTACTCTCCAATGGATTTATTGAACTACGATATTGTTTGTGAAGGTTTTTAGGGTAGCCTGTTTCATGGGAAACAGGACTTATGCAAGAAATGCTAAAGGAGTAACGAAATATTTAAAAGCCAAAGATACTTCGTGACGTCTTTCTTGGATGAACGCACGCGCACATAAATGAGCATCTTCTCGTGCATACATACAATACATATTGCTATACGTTTAACAATTCTCCTTCATAACTTGTGCTACATCATGTTTACAACTGATAAAAGTACACGATTATGCTTTACGTATTGACTTTATATAATCACTTGCGTGAAACTCTCAGAGCATAAATTGTGATGTTCCAATCGCGAAGGCTCAAGCTTTGTATACCAAATATATACTACGTTCTGCATATTCATGTATTCTTATCACATTTATGAAAATGTATCGTTCATGGCATTACAGAATTTCAGAATGCACCAACATGTTTTATAGCGAGTGCCATACCCTACATGATATTCTCGATTAATAAGCAGCCATTTTATTTTACAACACGACACAAACTTTTATTCTTGTCTTTCCCTAATCTTCCCTAAATAACTCAATTATACTTAACTCATACAAGCATCGTAGTATATTTTTGCACTGAATGTAAATTGTGAACAAACACTGCGTTTCACGATAACGTACCACGCGAAGTAGCAACCACGTTAGAGTCTACGCAAAGGACCCCTCTCCCCTTTACCTTTCCTCCTCACTCCAAACAAGTAATGATGTCGGCTACAAATAATGTGGCACTCCGGCAGATGCAACAAACTTATGCAATAGCTAGTCCTGGTGAATCTTATACTCAGGTAGTCCTGGGTAGATTTCTTGGATAATTAACATCCTAAATTTTGCAGATCGGAAAATATTAGTCCTAGAAAGTTCTTTATTCTATAAATCTATTTTTCAAATGTTCTATCTTATTCTGAGCATGACTTTCTTTACCGCTTATTCAGTCCTTACGCATTTGTTATTGATGCTTGACCTATTATTGACCTCCCATTTAATTTGATTTCGATTTACTGAAAAATCCATGTATTACAAAGTTTTCTTGAATAGAAGTTATAGAAGTCATGTTATAAACTGATAAAAAATTTATTTCTTTTCCATTCATTTTTCTAAAAATAAGCGTAGTCAGTGTTTCAGAAGTTCAAAAGGTTATAATTTGGGATGCTTTTTATTTATTGCGCAGTAGTCTTCAACAATGCATTTATGAAGACAGAATAGCTTTCATTAATAAATATCGCAAGCATACTTTAAGTTCTGATGAAGATATTCTAAAGCTAACCTAAATTGGAAGACTGACGCTAGAATACGTTGATAAAATTGAAAGAATGAAGGGGCAGGAATAATTATTTTGCTTTTTATACTTTGTGTTTTCATGCAAATTAGATTGAAGCGTCTAAGTCCGTTCTCTGCGCTCATTTGCGATGTTCTCTCATATTTGACAAATTTAAAATTTTATTATCGTTTGAATTACTTTAGCAATCTTTGCTATGATAGAAACAAACACGCTTGAAATATAAAATAATTACTGTATATACGAATTAACTTTTTTACTCGAAAAATACAATAAAACGATAGAATTCAAGAAAATGTTTTACGCTTTTTAATTTTGAGTTTGAGTTAATTGAAATTAAGAAGACTGTAAAAAACAGTAAGATAGCATCATCACAACGTGTACTGTAGGCGTTCTTTTAGCTTCTGCACTTAAACACTTTTACAGTAACACGAAAATTTAGAAAGTATGCAGTAAAATGTTATTTTTTTAAATACACAGTTACCTGAAAAAACTTAAAACTATGTGATAAGATGAATAATCCTTAAGATTATATTCTACTATACATTAAAAAGATGATTAGATTACGATAGATGAGTGTAGTAAAGATCATCAACAAAATCATATCATATCTCATACCATTTTGGTATCGCAGCAATATACCGGATAAACTTACTAGAGTGTAGTTTTAAAAAAATTTTAAATTACAGGTTCTGGGTTAATGGGACCTATTTTTTATTCTTTTTTTCTCATTATATTTTTTTATGGCAAACAAAAAAATGGATGAGTATTTGAATTAATATATGATCAGAAATTGAGAAGAATATTGTATTTTGATATCATTTGAATTACTAACAAAGTCAGTCTATTTCTGAATGTTAGGTGCAATAACGGTTAATTTGTTTTATTTTTTATAAATTTTAAGCGATTAAGTAATCAACACTTACGTGGATATCTGACACTTACGTAAATATTTATTTCCGTTAAGTTTGCACATATTTTGATTTTTTTTAGTCATAAACTTTTTGTTTATTAATCAATGAGTGATCAAAAAAAATCAATGAAAAATAATTTTTTATAAGTGAACTCTTTATTGTTTGATTAATGAAGGATTGTAAAAAATAGTGCAACATAGTTGTTTTTTACGGTTGTAGTCGTCATAAAATACATCTGAACTACTTTTGTTTGCACCAAATTACATTCAGTAGCTCAGTTCAATTAAATACTTTTTTTAATTTAAATACAAAAAATAGTCACAAAAAATACTCTAATTTACACATATTACAATGTAACAAGCACATTTTTGAGTGCAATCATTCCGGTGGATCAGATGATAAATATTATTAACTCATTTGTTCACAGTACTTACTAACTCTTAGAAACCTTCAATTCGTATTTTCGAGAATAAAAATTACCAAAACTGTAAGAACAATAAATTTGGTCTTCCAGATATCTCTTAACTACACGCCACTATCAGAGCTGATAATGAAATTATCAGACTAACTCTAAAAAACTGAGAGATATCAAAATTTGCCACTTCGTTATTTATTGAATACAAGCAAAAGTTTATCTGTAATAGACAATATAATTTTTGCATAAAATGAAATAATAATATTACTGAGTAACTTCACAAGAAGTTACTTGAAGGTACTTTTCACAAGGTTACTTGAAGGTACTTTTCACAAGAAGTTAACTGAAGGTACCTTCCAAGTCAAGTGATTTTTAATTTGAAGAAATAATAGAAGTACAAAATGACTGCAGATAAAAAGTGAGCTACCATTAAGCGGTGATACAGTTTGTACAATAGGTGCATTTTCTTTATAAAATGCATATTCAGTGATGCTAAACCAGTAAATAATTTAAATTAGGGTATTATTTTTTGTCAAATTTTCAGCAATTTCTGAATTTCAACTTTGCTGCATTTATATTACATTTTTAGTTTCAATAATTTTGCAAGTATGGCATATAATCGAACTTAAAATCTATAGGAAAAACTGCCTTGATTATCATTATTAGATGAATTTTCAGCATTCTGAAGTATTTGATGTGCGCAATTTGACGGATTTGAAGTTAACGTTTTATGCGTTAAATCCATATTATTTATACTTGCTGTGCTGATAATATCAGTGTTAGAAAGAATTTTAACTGTTGTGAGCATACTATCACTGTTAATATTAAAAGATGCAATGTTGAACTGATATTGCTGACCTAAATTACTTAAGTTTAGTTTTAACTTTGGGGCATGGCAACTTGCACTGCGCAACTCAAAAGCAAAACTAAGCACGTAAAGTTCAAAACAAATTGCAAGTAACCATTCTGAACACGTACCGATCATGTGTTCCGCGTAATTCTGAAAAATTAATTGTAATTTTATAATTTAATTTTCACCTAATTTGATATGTTAAATTATATTTAGAATATCACCTCCCAAAATCATGTAAGATATCATTAAAATGCGATTAACTTTTACAAATGCATTGAAAAAGTCTTTACGTGTGTAATAATACTAAAAGTACAAAGTTATTAAATTTGAAATTCATAACTAAGAATAAATAAGTAATTTGTTCATTCTTAAAATATCAATAAAATATTTGAAATGATTTAATTCAATACTATAACGTACAGTAATGATATTATTAATACAAATCAAGTCAACGATTTAGTATAGTGTTTTAGTAGACTCTATAATTAATTTATATTTTTGATTCATTTGTCAACAAAATATGGACAAAGTTTTTTATTGATACTCACGGGAGATTCTGGGGTCCATTTGTATAATGTGCCACTGTCAATTGTGTCTCTTGGTTGCTTGCCCAAAATTGGTCCAAATATTATCACTACAACTTTTGCATGAATTTTTTCATAAACTTCGGAAATATATTTATTTTTTTGATAAAATTTGTAAATTTTAAAATAAAAATTATATATATTTATAATTAAGTACTCAAAAAAGGATTTGTTTTATCAGCAATATCTTATTCAGTATTGAATTTTTTTACAAAAATTCTGATAAAAAATTATTCAGTATTGTATACATTGTATATTGATATGAAATGGACAAATTTTATTAAAATTTTCGTACTGACTGAAATTAGCATTTAGTTAAATAACTATTATTTTAAAAAAAAACAAGTACTGAAATATATAAAATTGGCAATTTTTTGACGAAATTAAGAATTAAATTGAATTTTTTAAATTGAAATTAGCGTTAATGTGATTATTGTATTGACCGAATTATTTTGGACAACAAACAAATATCTAAGTGATAATTTAATTATCATTAGTATTTTAATAATTATTAGACAAAATTGTTGAAATCTTTGTATAATTTATTCAAAACACTTACTAGTAATGAAAAAAATTGACGAAAGGCAGCATAAAAGTAATCGACAGTGTGGGACGATAACTTTTGTGAACATTGGCCTCATTCGGTAGCTAAAAACCGTCTGAGCCCAAGTATATACCAGGCCACAACCAAAGGCCAACAGCGCACCCGTATAATGCACAATGATCATATTGACCTCCTACGAATTTAGCCTGCATTGCTTTTAATTTTATGCATTCATCTAATTATTCATTTGATATTATGCTTATTTTTTTATTTATATATCTACTTATTTAATTAATTATTTTCAAAATCCATAAAATACTAATCACGTAGAAATCTAATTTTTTTTTTAAATTTTTTTAGTTAAAATTAACAACATTTCGACCACTGAAGTCAGCTTATTAATTAAAAAATATTTAAATATTACACTTAAATATTTCATTTATGAAAATTTTAAGAACAATTTGTTTATTCAAACTGTTCTAAAAAATATATCTTGCTAAATTAATGCAAATATTTTTAAGATTCAAATTAAAAAAACTTGCATTTAATATTATTAATAATTGTCCTTATAATAATTGTTCTCATAATTATCAAGCCAATCAATCAATTACTTATTTACTTATTTATTTATTTATTTATTTATCTATTTATTTATGTAGTTATTTATGAAATAGAAACGAATTTTTATTTTCAACAATTTAGTAAAAATAGTTAAATTTTTAATTGCGCTTAATAGATTTGTTAATTGAGTGATGTAATTTTATTTGAAATAAAAATTTAATATTTTATACTTGAAAATTGCCAACCATACTCATTCCAAATGCTGATAAATAACCTAACCACAAAAATACAGAGCAGTAATTTCTCCAATTTCCGTCTCTCTGCAAAAATCGCCATTAACACTTATATTCATATGCAAATTAAAGAATTCTACTAATTGTTCGCGCTTAAAATATTAAAAAATTTTAAATACTCAATCGCTGGCAAACCAAAACATTTCTTGCAGGCTCTTAAGTAATGCAAGTCAAATTTGTAAAAAAATTGTAAGTTATTTTGAAAATTATAAATTATTAAGTTATTTTTAATTATTTGTAATTTGTAAATTATTTTGTAAATTACTAAAATTTGTAAATTACTTTCATTAGTAACGGCTGTCTTTTGCAAGAAACGATATCAGTAGTAAAAATCAGTAAATTTAATTCATCAATTTGAATTTGAAAACTGAAATTATTTTATTGAAATTTAATTTGAAAGAATTGAAAAAAATTGAAAATTTTAAAATTTACCAAGAAATTTAAATTTGATTGAAACAAATTTATCGAGGAATTTTAACTATTGTGTAATTTAAAAGTTAGTATACTCAATAAGTGTGTTATAGTTTCACTTTTTTAATTACTTGTAATAAAGAAATTTCGTACAATAAACGTAAATTTCATAATTGATCAATTAATATTTATTGCATATAAGCTATTTCTATTATTAATATCTAGTGTACTTTGAAAGCAAAATTAAATACTGATTTTTATTTAAAAATTACTTTGTATTCAAAAATTATTTCTGAAATTAATATCAAATAATAAATAACTTGAAAACAAAAATTACTTGTTCTAAATGGTGCCAATAAAATTCGATTAGTTGCCGATGTCTTAAGTATACAGTTATTGCTACTGAAAAAATTTAAGTTAAATACAAATGATAGAATAAATAAGCAATTAAAAATAATTTAGTCATTAAGAAAAAATAATTTTAGAAGTTTAATTTCAAAGACTGCATTTCGTTAGACTTTTTAAAGTTACTTTTTGATTTGCATCAATTTGAATTTCAAAAATAAAAACAAAGTCAATTTCTAAGCAAAATAAATTTTACCATTACTAGTACTATTTACTTTTTATATAATTTTAGAGTAACTTTTTTCAAAATCATTCAATTATGTAACTTTTTGAAAATTCAAAAATGTTATATCACTATTTAATGATAAAATATGCAGATGCATAATTGAATTGGATTGCTTGAATTCAAATTTGTGCAGATGTATTCAAGATTAGTTATTAAATTTTACTTTATATATTTGATAGATCATTCATTTCCAATTTTTATTTTTTTGTGACCTATTCTAAAAATTGCCTCATAAAAATGCAAATTTTATTTACACAAGTCACAAATTGATCACAAATTCAATACTTAAACACTGGATTTAATACGATTGATGGCGCTTCATTTATGTTTTTAAACATTATAGTGATTAGAACAGATCTGAGTTTGTCTGGTCCCTAATATCTAAGTTACAGAAAAATTGAACCCATACTAAATAAATTAATATTTGTAATTATTACTTCATTAGTTGCTGAGGAATCGCTACTAAGTAATGTTTAATGAAGCGTATTTTAGTGAAGATAAATTGCACACTATGTTAATATATATTAAAAAATTTGAAATGCATTTTATTTACGTAATTAATGAATGAGTCAGTTTTCTTAAAGTATGATATAAAAGTTGAAAGGTCATAGAGAAAAGTGAATTTAATAATTTTATAGAAAAATATTCCAGTGAATAAGAAAAAAGCATAAATATTTGCGAGTTTTATTTATTTGGCATGTGAATTCATTTTTTAATTCAAAAAAATTTTTTCAATTTATTATTATTTTTCAGATCTAAGCAAGAGTGCAAAAAATACAATAAGGAAGTAATTTAATACTTATTGAAAATGTATTTACTTTGAATATTTACTTTAATAATTCACTAGCAAACAAAATAAAAATACTCACAAAATAAAGCAGAAAGGTTGAGCAGTTGCCCGAAAATGCAGCTTTCTGGCGGTAAGGTCCCACTATCACTAAAAACAATCATGTTTTGATAAGATTGTTAAGTTTTAAAGATTGTTTTTTGACATCAATAAGTGTTTTGACACGTGAATAGTTGCGTGAGTTGACTGCACGTGTAGCAAAATTTACTTCGCTTTTTTAAAATACAGATTTTAAAATACAAAATTATGAATTGCATTAATTCTTTTAATTTATAAAAAATTGGAATTAAAATAAAACCTGTTGGGATTGTTAATTTTTGACTTTCAAACTATTTTCGAATGAGTTAGCAAGTATAAATGTTAATTTTATGAGTACTCAAATTGAATAATGAATATTTTTTCATTTGACACTTTTGAGTTTACAAATTAATACCAAAAATCAAATATGAAAAAATAAATTGAATTTTAGGACTAAAATATTACCTTATATATGGCCAAAATGCTGTGATATGTTTTTCTGACAATGCCACAAAATAACTGAAATTCAAAATAATTTCAATAAATGTATTTAATTTCAATTAATGAATTAAAAATTGTTATAATTAATATATTTTTTCTAAACATTTTGCATATTTGTTGTTTTTAATCAAAAATTTTCAAATTTGTCTGTCATTTTAGACAAGAAGAAATATTTTAGGCATTATATCCAAAGTCAACAACGAAGAAAAGTTATTAAAAACCTTTCGATTTCTTGACTTAGAAAGCTAAATTTTAAAAACTATCAAACAAAATTATTAATTATTATCAAAATACTGAAATTAAAAACAAAATTACTTAAATACACAATTTTTTAATAATTTTAAATGTTTTGAAAAGAATTTGCAGAAGCTTACGAGACAAATGCCGCAGAAATGGTAAATATGCATGTTAAGAAAGGAATAATCCAAACTTGCTTTAATGCCATATCGCACAACTTAACCATTCATAATGATCATAACAACAACGATGAAAGCGAACTTTAATATAAATTAATTAAATATTCTATACAACAAAGAATTAGTTTACTGTATAGAATATTTTATCGACTTTTCTCATGAAATAATTCTCTGATATATTTATGAAAAGTAATAACAATGATAATAATAATAATAA